TTAAATTACACAAACATGCACGAGATTGGACATTTAAACACAGCAAATATATATATATATATATATATATATATCAAATACAAGAGGTAAATAACAAGCGGTAGGATTTCAAAGCGTATTCAGTCGAGTTGCAGAAACGTTTAGACAAATGAGTCGATGACTCATTCCGACTTTCGCAAGGCGTCGTTGTTGGAAAACCGCTGGAAAAGACGGGTTTCAACCTCGCGGCCACGTCGAAGTGACAGTGAGGAATGACATTCGGTGATTATACCGTGCAGAGGCGAAAGCTTCCCGTTGAATCTGTCGGCTACCTAAAATTTCCTATAGTCTCGCGTTCCATTCGGAGAACCAAAGTTGCATAAGTTCTCGTGATTCTAAGTGCGAAGAGTTCACGTCAAAAACGTGATATTATCTGCAAATGAACAATTCTCGAGCTGCTGCATCGTACATATTATCTTCAGTATAATTTTCTGATTATCTACCTCGGTCGGAGAACAAATTTTATTCGAACGTTTTTTAATCTCTTGCGATTTGATAAAAATTTGATTTCCTCATTGATGAATTGTCATACAACAGACTTCCATTACGAAAGCCAACTCATCTTTTTATACGTCTTTAGCATCGGAAAATCGACCTCGATGTAAACAATTATCCGTGCCAAAATGAAAAAGCTTGCAAAAGGTTAGTTATCACTCGAGATATAAGTTCATCTTGATCCCGTTAAAACTCTAACACAGCGAGAAGTGATCTCCGTATTTGTCGTTTCATCGAGTTACGAAAATTCCTATCTTCAAATTAAGCGATCAGTCGTCCCTTTTTAGGTAATTTCTTCGTCCAGCACACGTGGTTTCTTGAATGGACATTTTTAATACAGACAGCGATAAAAAGGAGGCTTTTTTTCTTCCTACGAGTTGCATTCTCCATGTATCTGGCGCGTCGAACGAGGACGCGTGCAAACAACGATTGCGCAAACGAACGATTTCTTTCTTCTTTTAATGCGCGTTGGCCCCCGGCGAACAGCAATCTGATCTTGGCGCTCCAGATGACGATTCAATTAGAATATTTTCATATTCAGAGGATCCTTCCTCGGTGAGGCTGCCTCGTTTGAATTCGACCCGTTCTATAATGAAAGTGGGCTGTTTTGGAGTTCTGGGAACGAGTATGGAAATTGAAGAAGTAGAAATTCCCTCATCGATCGTTGCAGTAGAGAAATATGAATTTCTCTGCGTTATTTGTTTTATTTTATTTTATTTTTTGGTTACGTTTCATTTGAAAAATTTGCGACTTACATTTTGTCGAAGATCTCGAAAATTTGCTTGCACAAATATTAGCACGTGAATCTGCTAAGTATTATTTTAGAGAAAATTTTGTGAGACTCTTAAGGGAACTTTAATGGTCGCCGGTGATTGTTCGTAGAATTATAAAAATCGTACGGAGAATTTTCTTTTCTAAAAATTTCAAACTTCTACCTCCTCCTCGAAATTACCAAAAATCTCACCGCGCAGAAAATTCCTCTTCAGTAAAACAAGACTCAAATATAACAAAAGAAAAAAATATATATATAAATATTTCGTGTATATATAAATTTCAACTTTCTCAAAATACAAATTGATTAAAATCCCATCCTAAAATAATTCGTTTCACGCTGTTGAAACGTCAACGTTTCGTTCATAATCGAAAATCCTTTGGCCACTGGACTCGTTAGCAGTTTGGTACTCGAGGCCAATATGTACGCCAGTGTGTATAGTTGGAAAGGCTTGTGTGGTGGGTGGTGTCGTTGCTCATTACGATCAAGCCGGTGGTTAAAAGGAGCAAAAACCCGTGCAAGGGAGGAGAGGGCGTTGTGCCTGCGGGCTTTCTTGAATCGCGTGCTCCTCTCTTATTAGCCTACATCGAAGCTAACCAGCGGCTTCGACTTCTTATTAGAGTGTGACGTATCGTCCAAGTGAACTTGAACGACGACGATTCATCGCTGTGAACGAGAGAAACGTCCGACAACTCGTTCGCCTTATATTAGCCCCGATTTTGATGAAACGAATGAATCTTTCCGGAGAGTTTCCTTCTTTTCGTTGAAGATTTGCATCTCGTTGATACTGTTGATTATCAGTGAAGATACGTTAATTTTATCAGTGATATGTATATTACATCCTTCGTTCAAATTGTCCACAATATTATTATATATATTATATATATAATTTAGATTCGATTTTAAGCGAATAATTCTGGTTCAATTTTGAACCAGAAGCAGATTAGATTTTTTTTTTCATTAATTTCATGAGTAATTAATATCCCTAATTCAAATCGTACGATGAATTTAAATTAGTGGTTTTTTGAAAAATTATTGTCAACGAAGATTTCACAAAACTTGAGCCCACGTGTGACATTCACTGTGATTTAACCCTTTGCGCTGGCAACTGATTCGCGGACCATAACGAGCGACCAAACCGTATACAATAATTCGTCGCTTTCT